AAGTGTGTGTGTGCTTGTAGTGTTTTAGATTAATGGATGAAAAACATTACATCTTTACCTTTTTTTTTGTTTCTATTTTTTTTGAGACGTAAGTCTCGCTCTGGTCGCCCAGGGCTGGAGTGGTAGTGCGAGTCTCAGTTCCACTGCAAAGCTCCGCCCTCCCGTGTTTACGCATTCTCCTGCCTGCAGCCTCCAGTAGCTGGTACTACAGGCCGCCCCGCCACGGACGCTCGGTACTTTTTGTATTTTTTTTTTAGTAGAGACGGGGGTTTCACCGTCTCTACTAAAAAAAAAATAAAAATTTCGCCGGGCGTGGGCGGGGCCTGTAGTCCCAGCTACTCGGGGAGCTGGAGCAGGAGCATGGCGTAACCCGGGAGGCGGAGCCTTGCGAGTGAACTGAGACGCCACACACACACACACATTCTCTCACACAAAATCGGTGACTGAGTATCTAAAAAACACATGGACCATGGGTGGTGTGTCACACGCCACAGTTCCAGCACTTTGGGAGGCCGAGGTGGGAAGATTGCTTGAGGCTAGAAGTTTGAGACCTGCTTGTGCAACATAAAATTAAGAAAAATTGAAATTACAAAAAATGTCAAAAAAAGTTAGTTAGTTATGGTTGTGTGGGCCTACAGTCCCAGCTTGGGAGCCGGAGGTGGGAGATGGCTTGAGCCCAGGAGGCTGCAGTGAGTAAGGCATGATCATGCCATTCCATTCCAGCCCGGGTGACAGAGTGAGACCCTTTCTCTTTTTGTTTTTGTGTGTGTGTGTGTGTGTGTGTGTGTGTGCACGCTTTGTTTTTTATGAGGCAGGGTCTCACTCTGTTGTTCAGGGTGGAGTTCAGTGGTGTGATCATAGCTCATTGCAGCCTCGACCTCCTTGGGCTCAACTGACCCTCCCACCTTAGCTTCCAGAGTAGCTGGGACTACAAGTGCATGCCACCACGCCTGGCTAATTTTTTTTTGGTGGAGATGAGGTTTTGCTATGTTGGCCAGGCTGGTCTTGAACTCCTGGCCTCAGGCAATCCTCCCGTCTATATATATAGTTTTTGAAATATTGATCTTTTTTTTTTTTTTTGAGACAGAACCTCACTTCGCCCAGGCTGGAGTGCAGTGGCGTAATCTCCGCTCACTGAAACCTCTGCCTTCCAGGCTCAAGCAGTTTTCCTGCCTCAGCCTCCTAAGTAGCTGGAATTACAGGTGCACGCAACCACGCCTGGCTAACTTTTGTATTTTTAGTGGAGACGGGGTTTCATCATGTAGGTCAGGCTGATCTCGAACTCCTGACCTTGGGATCTGCCTGCTTCTGCCTCCCAAAGTGCTGGGATTACAGGCCTGAGCCACCACTCCCGGCTCCTGTGTTTCCTTTTTGGGGGGCACATCCTCACCTATAATGCATGGGGTCCTGACTGTCCCCACAGGGCGCTGGCTCTCAACTGCTTTGCTCCCATCAATGACCAAGAAGGGGCCGAGGCCAAGGACTGGCGGTCAGGGAAGCCGGTCAGGGTGGTGCGCAATGTCAAGGGTGGCAAGAACAGCAAGTACGCCCCCGCCGAGGGTAACCGCTACGATGGCATCTACAAGGTGAGTGCCCCGTGGGGAGGCCGGGGGCTCTGTCCCCACCGGGGCTGCCTCTGATGGAGCTGACGCTGATGCCTGTTCCCCGCAGGTGGTGAAATACTGGCCCGAGAAGGGGAAGTCCGGGTTTCTCGTGTGGCGTTACCTCCTGCGGAGGGACGATGATGAGCCAGGCCCTTGGACGAAGGAGGGGAAGGACCGGACCAAGAAGCTGGGGCTGACCATGCAGGTGCGTCTGGGATGGGGGATGGCACTTTGGGAGTCCAAGGCGGATGGATCTCTTAAGGTCAAGAGTTCAAGACCAGTCTGGCCAACATGGCGAAACCTCATCTCTACTAAAAATACAAAAATTAGCTGGCCATGGTCGTGGGTGCCTGTAATCCCAGCTACTGAGGTGGCCGAGGCAGGAGAATTGCTTGAACCCGGAAGGTGGAGGTTGCAATGATCCGAGATGGTGCCACTGCACTGTAGCCTGGGTGACAGAGAGAGAATCCGTCTCAAAAACAGCACCGCTGGACTCAGTGATGGCTCTGGCACTTCCCACCCGGGCAGCCTGGGCACCACGTGAACCGCTCGGAGGCTGTCATCTTTAATAGTCATTGCGGGTCACAGAATGGGCCTGGCCTGGGCTTGTGGTGCTCACGGTCTGGACCGTGCCGAGCACTCTGGGAGGCCTCCCGTCTCGGGCCCATGCTTTCCTGGTTTCTCTCTGATCCAGAACGATTACCAGGGCCCCAGCTGATGGCGCCCCCCTAGCTGTCCTATATAAATCCTCCAGCCAGGGGGTGATGGGGATGCGCAGATGACATTTGCGTCTCCGCCTGCCGCGTCTCGGAGTTGAAAACCAGACTGGCTTGTCTTGGTTGTGTCGGTAAAGAGATCGCTGCAGACCAGTCAGGCATCTGATGTCCTCTGTTTTCACTTCTCTTGGCTCATTTTAAAAAAAAAAACAGAAACAAACCAACCAAACTGGTGGAATCCAGAGAGGTCCGGATGGAAAAATGGGGAGGATGAATATCCCCGAGCCATCTCTCACCTCCCCGCGGCTGTGGGAGCTGCTGAGAGCTTGTTCAGGGAGCGGCGCAGCATTTTGGCAACACAAGGTGTTTTCTGTCCATTGCAGGGAGCTGCTTTACAGCAGATGAACTGTGGGACTATTTAAGGAATCTTAATTGCTGTCGAGAGCCCGACATCGTCTACCCGAGGGGGTCGCTGAGGTGGTCTTCTGAACGGATTTGTGCAGTGGGGAATTTCAGAAACTGAGGAACGAGAGAGAAAAATAGTAATGGGAGAGACAACCTCAGCTTCTGTTGGGAGGAGGATTTTGTTTGTTTGGTTGTTTTTTTGAGATGGAGTCTCGCTCTGTCGCCTAGGCTGGAGTGCAGTGGTGAGATCTCAGCTCACCGCAGCCTCCACCTCCCAGGTTCAGGCGATTCTCCTGCCTCAGCCTCCCGAGTAGCTGGGATTACAGGTGCCCACCACCACGCCCGGCTAACTTTTGTAGTTTTAGTAGAGACGGAGTTTCATCTTGCTGGTCAGGCTGGTCTTGAACTCCTGACCTCAGGTGATCCACCTGCCAGTGCCTCCCAAAGTGCTGGGATTACAGGCATGAGCCACCACTCCCAGCCTTTTCTTTTCTGTTTTTTTTTTTTTTTTGAGATAGAGTCTTGCTCTGTCACCCAGGCTGGAGTGCAGGCGTGATCATGGCTCACTGCAACCTCCACCTCTCAGGCTCAAGCGATTCTCCTGCCTCAGCCTCCCGCATAGCTGGGATCACAGGTGCACACCACCATGCCCAGCTAATTTTTGTATTTCTAGTAGAGATGGGGTTCTGCCATGTTGGCCAGGCTAGTATCGAACTCCGGACCTCAGGTGATCCACTTGCTTCTGCCTCCCAAAGTGCTGGGATTACAGGTGTGAGCTGCTGACCCTGGCCAGGATATATATATATTTTTTTCTGACTCTTATATCCATTGCAACATAAAGATGTGAAAGGAGCTTGAAGATTTCCCGAGACACTGGAGAGTCAGACGTGACTGTAGGTTTCTTCGAAATAGAGCGATGATGCCCTATGAGGACAGGGAGGGCACGAGTCCTCAGAATCATCAGAATTTGGCCAACTAAGGCCCTGGGGTCAGGTGTTCGTAAGCGAAGTTTCTGAGGAAACAGTCACGCTCACTCACTGAAGTAGCCTGCGCTCAGCGCTTGCGGTCCAGACCCATAAGGCTTGAAAACATTTACCCTAGGGGCCCTAGAAGCAAAAGATAGCCTGCCTTCATGTCAATCATAAAGACGAGATCTTATTGGTGGGATGTGATGCTGAACACGTCACCAGCGTTCACTCACATTAAATGCGCTTACCCCGACCCTGCCAGGTGGAGCTTGGCCGATTATCTCCTCTTAGTCTCCTCTTGTTCGCAGTGAAGCTTTGCGATTAGGCAGGATTAGCCATTGGTCGAGGCTCCACAGAGAAGGAAGAGCTGAGTCCACAGGCGTCCCCCACCCCCGTTACCAGGGGACACTTCCAAAGTCCTCAGCACATGCCTGAAACCAGAGATAGTACCAAACCGTAGATATATAATGTTTTTTTCTTTTTTTCTTTTTTTTTTTTTGAGACGGGGTCTCGCTCTGTCGCCCAGGCTGGAGTGCAGTGGCCGGATCTCAGCTCACTGCAAGCTCCACCTCCCGGGTTTACGCCATTCTCCTGCCTCAGCCTCCCGAGTAGCTGGGACTACAGGCGCCTGCCACCTCACCCGGCTAAGTTTTCGTATTTTTTAGTAGAGACGGGGTTTCACCGTGTCAGCCAGGATGGTCTCGATCTCCTGACCTCGTGATCCGCCCGTCTCGGCCTCCCAAAGTGCTGGGATTACAGGCTTGAGCCACCGCGCCCGGCCTTATAATGTTTTTTTCTATACGTGTAGACTGGTGATTAAGTTTAATCTATAAATTAGGTACAGTATGAGATTCGCAACCTGTCTTTCACATCTTTGGCTTCTCTTTAGCATATCCAAATTGCCAGCATCCCTACTCTTGCACTTTCGGGCCATTATTTTTATTTTTGAGACCAGGTCTCGCTCTATCGTCCATGCTGGAGTGTCGTGGTGCGATCATAGCTCACTGCAGCCTCAAACTCCTGGGCTCAAGCGATTCTCCTGCCTCAGCCTCCTAAGTAGCTGGGACTACAGATGCACGCCACCACACTGGGCTATTTTTAAAAATTTTTTTGAAGAGGGAATCTTGCTATGTTGCCCAGGCTGGTCTCAAACTCCTGGGCTCAAGCGATCCCCCTGCCTTGGCTTCCCAGAGTGCTGAGCTTATGTAATAAAAATTATAATGTTTAATATTAACATTTTATATTTAGCCTGTAATCCCAGCACTTTGGATGACTGAGGCAGGTGGATCACCTGAGGTCAGGAGTTCAAGACCAGCCTGGCCAACATGGTGAAGCCCCATCTCTACTAAAAATACAAAAATGAACTGGGTGTGGTGGCAGGCACCTGTAACCCCAGCTACTCCGAAGCAGAGGCAGGAGAATCGAGACGCTGGACAAAGGGAAGGTTCACATCCCTGCGGGACGATGCAGTATTTCATCATGCGCCTCAGAACAGTGTGCAGTTTACAACTTAGGAATTGTTTCTGGAATATTCCATGTAACATTTTCAGTTGACTTTGGGTCACTGAAACAGCAAAACTAGATAAGGGAGGACCACCCTGTGCTCTTCAGGGGAATCAGGTCAGGTGCGTTTGGAAACCCAGACCTGGCAAGGGGGCCAGAAGAGCAGGCGGGTCCCAGTGGGCCCCAAGCCTGACTCACACCCGTCCCTCCTTCTCCTGAAGTATCCAGAAGGCTACCTGGAAGCCCTGGCCAACCGAGAGCGAGAGAAGGAGAACAGCAAGAGGGAGGAGGAGGAGCAGCAGGAGGGGGGCTTCACGTCCCCCAGGACGGGCAAGGGCAAGTGGAAGCGGAAGTCGACAGGTGAGCATCTCGTGGGTGTGCGGTGGGCGTCTTGTGTGTGTGGGAGCAGGTGGGTGTCTCGTGGGTGTGGGGTCGGGGTCGTATGGACGTGGGAGCAGGTGGGTGTGTCTCCAGCAGCTCGGGCCATGCGCCCCTCCCTCGGCCACGCGCCCCTCCCTCACGCGCCCCGCCCTCTTCCAGGAGGTGGACCGAGCAGGGCCGTGTCCCCGCGCCGGACAGCCAAGAAAAGCAAGGTGGAGCCTTACAGCCTCACGGCCCAGCAGAGCAGCCTCATCAGAGAGGACAAGAGCAATGCCAAGCTGTGGAATGAGGTCCTGGCGTCACTCAAGGACCGGCCGGCGAGCGGCAGCCCGGTAGGCACGCGCAGCTCACTCGTCGCCCTGATTTGTGTTGATTGCGGTAAAATGTATGAAGCTTATTTACCATTTTCACCATTTTCAAGTGTACAGCTCAGTACAGCTCAGTGGCACTCAGCACATTGATGTGGTTGGGCAACTGTCACCACCATCGCCACCTCCAGAACTTTCTCCTCTCCCCAAACTAAAACCTTGCCCCTGTGAAACCGTCACTTGCACCCGCTCTGCGGTCCTGGCACCCCCTGCCATCCTACCTTCTGTCTCCGTCTCCCGGGGCTGTTGCAAAGTGACCCCAGGCCTCGGAGTGCAAAGCGACTCGCATCTCACAGCTCTGGGGCTGGGAGCCTGACAGAGGCCTTGCTGGGCTAAGGTCGGGGCACGGGCAGGGCTGGGCCCTCCTGGGGGCTCCAGGGAAGAACCAGATTCCTGCCTTTCCCAAGGCCAGAGGCGCCGCATCCCTCCGCTCGTGGCCCCTTCCTCCCCCTTCACAGCCACAGCGCATCCTCTTACAGGCTCTGAGTCTCACCTTCCCTCTCCTCTCTCGGGAGGACCTGGAGGTGACATCAGGCCCCCCGTCTCACCCAGGATGCTCTCCCAGCTCCAGGTGCTTCACTAAGTCCCGCCTGCCATTTCTCCTCTGCTGTGGAGGGTGACGTAGTTGCAGGTCTCAGGATTCAGCTGTGGCCGAGGCCATCTCAGGGGTCCCTCTACTCCCGTTTCCTTCAGGCCACATTCTTCCCAGGGCTTTGTCCCCAGCCCCCCCCCATGCTGGGACACCACCTTGCCCCCGCCCTTCACTTGTGTCTCTTTGGTCCCCGCACTTAGCTCCAAGCAGGAGGGAGGTGTCTTTCGAGTCATCTGCAGCTGGGCTTCTGGTGGCCCGTGTACTCAGTATGCATTGTGCCAGTGTAGACCATGCCTCAGGAGTACCTTTTTTTTTTGTGGGGGGGGGAGGAAGACAGCGTCTTGCCCTGTCATCCAGGCTGGAGTACAGGTCACTGTAGCCTTGAAGTCCCAACTCCCAGGCCACACCTATTTTTACAATTTATTTTATTTATTTTTATTATTTTTTTTGAGACGGAGTTTTGCTCTCGTTGCCCAGGGTGGAGTGTACAATGGTGTGATCTTGGATCACTGCACTCTCCACCTCCCAGGTTCAAGTGAGTCTCCTGCCTCAGCCTCCCGAGTACCTGAGATTACAGGTGCCCACCACCATGCCTGACTAATCCTGTATTTTTAGTAGAGACAGGATTTCATCATGTTGGTCAGGCTGGTCTTGAACTCCTGACCTTAGGTGATCTGCTCACCTCAGCCTCCCAAGGTACTGGGATTACAGGCATGAGCCAGCATGCCTGGTCTATTTTTTAAATTTTTTGTAGAGATGGGGTCTCACTGTGTTGCCGGGTTAGTCTTGAACACCTGGCTCAAGCGATCCTCTTGTCTTGGCCTTCCAAAGTTCTGGGATGACAGGCGTGAGTTGCTGCGCCCGGCCAGGAACCTCTCCTAAAGCCCTGTCTTGACTCAGTGCAGGGCGTGTTTGGTGGTGCCAGCTGGTCGCATCTGGGTCCTGTCCAGCATCATCGAGGCCAGCACCCCATGTACTGGCTCCGCCCCATCCTCCCCACCTCGCCACTTGGGGTGTTGGGGACTTCGGGTGAGGCTCATGCCTTTTGGGCGTCTGTTTTTCTCAGAACGGGGACGATCATGGCCCCCGCCTCCTGGAGTGAAGGCTGGGGACAGAATTAGAGGACCCAGGTACATGCTCAGCAGCAAGCCGCCGACCTCTGGGAGCCCTGGTCCTGGGGTCTTTGCCGGCCTCACGCCCGCTTTCCTCTAGTTCCAGTTGTTCCTGAGTAAAGTGGAGGAGGCGTTCCAGTGTATCTGCTGTCAGGAGCTGGTGTTCCGGCCCATCACGACCGTGTGCCAGCACAACGTGTGCAAGGTGAGCGGAGACAGCCACGGGAGCCAGGTGGAAGGTTCCAGAAGGATGACCTGACCTCCCGTTCCCACATGCCTGCCCACTACAGACGGAGGCTCACTGTCTTTGCTCCGGTCACTCTGCAGCTTTTCTCGGGGCCTTGTTGACTGCTTTCTGGGAGGCCTGTATTATGACGGAGGCCTGGAACATTCTCCCCCCAGTCTTGTATGGCCAGGGGGCCAGGGTGGGAGAGGATGGGCCACCGTCTTGGCCCAAGGTCTGGAGAGGGAGGTGCACATCCCCTGGGGGGCAGGAAAGAAGGCTTCCTGGAGGAGATGGTGTTACCACACAGCATCCCTGGTACCTGGGACAGCCCGTGAAAAAGCCTGGGTGAGAAACCAGCAGCTGGGGCCTGTGGTGGCTCTGGGCACTGGGGCGGTGGCCTGGCATGGGTTTTAGACTCAGGACAGGTGGTTGATCCTAGGAGGGAAACATGATCCCAGCTGATGGTTTTTTTGTTGTTGTTGTTGTGTTTTTTTTTTTTTTTTTTTTGAGATGGAGTCTCGCTCTGTTGCCCAGGCTGGAGTGCAGTGTTGCGGTCTCTGCTCACTGCAAGCTCCGCCTCCTGGGTTCACACCATTCTCCTGCCTCAGCCTCCCGAGTAGCTGGGACTACAGGCGCCCGCCACCACGCCAGGCTAATTTTTTGTATTTGTAGTAGGGATGGGGTTTCACCGTGTTAGCCAGGATGGTCTCGATCTCCTGACCTCGTGATCCACCCGCCTCAGCCTCCCAAAGTGCTGGGATTACAGGCGTGAGCCACTGCGCCCGGCCCCCGCTGATGGTTTTCAAAGAGATAGGTTTGGGGCCAGGACAGGGTCTCTTCCCCTCTGTGCTGTGGGCCTTGGGGTCAGATCATTCTCTGGGGTGGAGTCGTCCTGAGCGATGCAGGGTGCTGAGCAGCATCCCTGGCCCCCACCCACGCCATGCCAGGAGCTCCCTGCCTAATCCAGACAACCACAGATGTCCCCAGACACCTCCCAGTGCCCCCTGGGGGCAGAGTGGGTCTGGGTGATGACTTCTCTGCTGTGACCTCTGGCCAGAGCCGGCAGTCCATTGGACAGGTGTGGAAGGGACTGACCCTGCCACCCCGCAGATCTCCCCAGGCCTCTGAGTTGCCGGCGGTTTCCCTGCCAACTGCAGTCCCGCAGTCCTCTCAGCCATGGGCCACAGCCCCGGGTCTCGGACCCTGTGTTTGCTTTCCTGCCAGGAGGCAGATCAGGGAAGGTCAGGAGACAGGGAGTTCCCAGTCACGCCCATGGCATCTCTGCCTCCTTGGCCCCACCTGCCTCGCCCTGTGGACTAAGTCCTTTCAGCCGTGTGGGCCGCCCTGCGTGCCCTGAGTGAGGTGGCAGAAGCGGTGAGAAGTCGTGGTGTCTTTGGGGCTGGTGGTCCGGGTCTGAGCCATCTCTCACCTCTCAGGCGTGCAGGCACTAATCCCTCCCAGCCTCGGCTGGCCACAGTGAGAAGGGACCTGGTAACGCTGTCCTGGCCGCCAGGTTGTCGTGAAGGTCCTGGCTTAGCCCCTGGCAGGAAGGAAGTGCTCAGGAGGTGGGCACAGGCAGAGGGCTGGCTGTGGGGGGCTCTTGGAAGAGGGAGGCCTGGGAGCCCCGTGACAGTAGGAAGGACTGTGGGGACACTGGGAAACCACCTTTCCTGTGCATTGGTGTGAAGGCGCAGAAGCGCCGAGGATGTAAAGGAAGGGGCTAACCAGTGTCACTGTGTCCCCACAGTCTGTCCTCGCTGCTCTGTTTCAACTCGGGAAGCTCAGCATTGGAGGGGTTCTGGGAAACAGGCTGTGACCTTCCACCTTGATTTTTTTAAATGAAAAACTTGAGGCTGGCCGCGGTGGCTCATGCCTGTAATCCCAGCACTTGGGGAGGCTGAGGTGGGAGGGTCACTTGAGGTCAGGAGTTTTTTTGTTTTTTTTTTTTGAGACGGAGTCTGGCTCTGTTGCCCAGGCTGGAGTGCAGTGGCACGATCTTAGCTCACTGCAAACTCCGCCTCCCGGGTTCACGCCATTCTCCTGCCTCAGCCTCCCGAGTAGCTGGGACTACAGGCACCTGCCACCACGCCCGGCTAGTTTTTTTGTATTTTTTAGTAGAGACGGGGTTTCACTGTGTTAGCCAGGATGGTCTCGATCTCCGAGGTCAGGAGTTCGAGACCAGCCTGACCAACATGGTGAAACCCCATCTCTACTAAAAATAAAACAAAATTAGCCACTCTTGGTGATAGGCACTACTCGGGAGGCTGAGGTGGGAGAATCGCTTGAACCTGGGAGGTGGAGGTTGCGGTGAGCCGAGATCGTGCCATTGTACTTCCAGCCTGGGCATCAGAGTGAGACTCCATCTTAAAAAAAAAAAAAAAAAAGCCACAGGCTGCCTGGAGCAGGTGACTGTGCTGTGGTCACTGGGCCTCTACCCTTGTGTTGCCACTGCCCTTGCCCAGCTGTGTGACGACATGCTGCAGACATGTGTCCCCCGTGTAGGCATCTGCGCACCTGTGTGCGGTGTCTCACTCCTCCCTGGCATGCATCCAGCCCGGTGGCATCTTCCCTGTTTGTCTGCTTGGGAAGTGGAGGCTCCGGGCCTCTCAGCTCAGCTCTGTCTCCTCCTGGCTTTCTTCCCCAGGCACGACTTGGTTGAGCTTGAATTTAGGAGTCTGAATCTGCCGGACTTGGTTCCTTCCTCCTTTTCCCCTTTCTTCTCATTGACGTGTATGTTTATTTTTTATTTTTTTCGAGACAAGGTCTTGCTCTGTCGCCCAGGCTGGAGTGCAGTGGCGTGATCACAGCTCACTGCAGCCTCAGCCTCCCTGGGCTCAGGTGATCCTCCCACCTCAGCCTCCGGAATAGCCGCACCCGGCTAATTTTTTTGTTTTTGTTTTTTCTTTGAGACGAAGTCTTGCCCTGTCACCCAGGCTGGAGTGCAATGGCGTGATCTCAGCTCACTGCAACCTCCGCCTCCCGGGTTCAAGTCATTCTCTTGCCTCAGCCTCCCAAGTAGCTGGAATTACAGTCATGCGCCTGGCTAAATTTTGTATTTTTAGTAGAGCTGGGGTTTCACCATGTTGGCCAGGCTGGTCTTGAACTCCTGACCTCAAGTGATCTGCCCCCCTCGGCCTTCCAGAGTGCTGGGATTACAGGCATGAGCGACGATGCTCGGCCTGATGTGTGTGTTTATTAAGCATCTACTGTATACCCTGTGCTTGGTGTTGAGAGAGAACACAGCCTCAAAGCTCAGGGAGCATCTGCCCTGTTGTAGATAAGATAAGCACATTAATAAATAAGATGGCTCCACAGGTGGAAGGAGAGGTGACATCGTGAAGGCAGATGGGGCAACGTGATGGGACTGCCTCTGATACTCTAGGGAGGTGTAAGGGAAGGCCCCATAGGGGAGGTGACTTGAGCTGAACTGTGAGTGATGAGAGCCAGGGGGCCGAGCTGTTAAGTGGCATGACTTGCAGGGACAAAAGCCTGGAGGCCGGGTGAGCTTGGAATCTTAGAGGGCCCCCAAGGAGGCCAGGCTGGTGATGGGCGGCAGGTGGAAAGTGAGACTGAAGGTCAGGAGGAGTCCTCTGGACCTGGTGAGACTGTCCTTGCAGCGCTAGGAGAGGTGGCCAGGAGCAAACCTGATTGCGTGGATGGCGCTTCTCACGCCCCCTCTGTGTCTTACAGGACTGCCTGGACAGATCGTTCCGGGCACAGGTGTTCAGCTGCCCCGCCTGCCGCTACGACCTGGGCCGGAGCTACACCATGCAGGTGAACCAGCCTCTGCAGACCGTCCTCAACCAGCTCTTCCCCGGCTACGGCAACGGCCGGTGATCTCCAAGCACTTCTCGACAGGCGTTTTGCTGAAAATGTGTCGGAGGGTTCGTTCATCGGCCCTGATTTTGTTCTTAGCGGGCTTAACTTAAACAGGTAGTGTTTCCTCTGTTCCCTAAAAAGGTTTGTCTTCCTTTTTTTTTTTTTTTTTTTATTTTTTATTTTTCAAATCTATACATTTTCAGGAATTTATGTATTCTGGCTAAAAGTTGGACTTCTCAGTATTGTGTTTAGTTTTTTGAAAACGTAAAAGCCTACAATTTCTCGACAAAACAGTGTAAGATTTTTTAAAGATGGAATCAAACTACGTGGCGTGGAGGCTGTTGATGTTTCTGGTGTCAAGTTCTCAGAAGTTGCTGCCACCAACTCTTGAAGAAGGCGAAGGGATCAGTCCTTCTCTCGGGTTTGGCCCCCCCAAGGTCAGAGCAAGCATCTTCCTGACAGCATTTTGTCATCTAAAGTCCAGCGAGATGGTTCCCCGTGGTGGCCCGTGGCAGCCCGTGGCGTGGCGTGGCTCAGCTGTCTGTTGAAGTTGTCGCAAGGAAAAGAGGAAACATCTCGGGCCCAGTTGAAACCTTTGTCTCAAAGCCATCCCCCGCCAGACTGCTTAGCATCTGAGATCTGCGTGAAAAGTCCTGTGCCCGCAAGAGCAGGGAGTTGGGGCCATGCAGAAATGGCCTCAAGGGGACTCTGCTCCACGTGGGCCGATGTGTGGCTGACGCTGTCCGATGAAGGCGGCCATGGACGGATGCCAGCACACGAAGTCACGCCCAAGTGCCTTTGGTTCGTTCCTTCTTTCTAAAGACGACATCGTCTTTGTTGTTAGCACTGAATTATTGAAAATGCCAACCAGATTCTAGAAACTACGGTCATCCAGTTCTTCCTGACACCGGATGGGTGCTTGGAAACAGTTTGAGCCTTACAGATCATTGAAATTCAATTTTTTTAACTCGGCAAGTGAGAACTTACAAGAGGATTTTTTTGTTTTTGTTTTTGTTTTGTTTTTTTTCTATGAATACATTTTCTAAATGAATTTTTTTTGTAGTTACTGTATATGTACCAAGAAAGATATAACGTTAGAGTTTGGTTGTTGTTTTTGTTTTTGTATTTTTTTTTGAAAGGTTTTGTTAATTTTTCTAATTTTACCAAAGTTTGCAGCCTATACCTCAATAGAACAGGGATATTTTAAATCACATACCTGCAGACAAACTGGAACAATGTTATTTTTAAAGGATTTTTTTTTTTCACCTCCTTATTGTTAGATTATTAATGTATTAGGGAAGAATGAGACAATTTTGTGTAGGCTTTTTCTAAAGTCCAATATTCTTTGTCCAGATTTTAGATTCTCAGAATAAATGTTTTTCACAGATAGACTTGATTGTGTCTTCCTATTTGCAAACTGCCTTTGGAGCTTTCTGTGCACTTTTGTGCATTATTTTACAAAAATCCCAGGAGAAACGTGAGGCAGGTGGCTTCAACCCCACTTTACAGTTGAGAAAAGTGAGACCCAGGAGATGATGGTGATGGGCTGAGGTTCTAACAGCCTAGGAGGTGCTGGGCTGTTAACTTAGCAGCCTTGAGTGCAGGGGTCAGCAAACCACAGCCAATGGGGCCCAAGTCAGGGACACTGCCTGTCTTTGTAAATAAAGTTTTATTGACACCACCACACCCATTTCTTTATGTATATAGTGGCGTTTGCGCTACTATCAGCAGAACTGAGTAGGTGCAGCAGAAACCAACTGGACCACAAAGCTGAAAAATACTCACTGCCTGGCCAGCAAAGCTTGCTGGTCCTTCCTCTCGGGAGGATCACTTGAGTGTGTAGGAGTTTGAGACCAGCCTGTAGACCCCAACTCTACAAATAAATAAAAATATTAGCCAGGTGTGGTGGTGTTTCTGTAGTCCCCGCTACTCAGGAGGTTGAGGCAGGAGGCTGATTGCTTGAGTCCTGGAGCTAGAGGCTGCAGTGAACTGTGATTGCACCACTGTACTCCAGCCTGGGCAACAGAATGAGATGCTGTCTTTAAAAAAAAAAAAAAAAAAATCTCGGATGGTAAAGGGGCTGCATCTTGCAGATTAATTAATTCACACCAACCTATTACTGGTGCCTTTTATTGATGGTTAAGTAACCATATGGGCAGATTTATTTTGTTTTTGAGACAGTCTTGCCCTGTTGTCCAGGCTGGAGTCCAGTGGTGTGATCATAGCTCATCGCAGCCTCCAACTCCTGGGCTCAAGTGATCCTCCCATCTCAGCCTCCCGAGTAGCTGGTGCCACAGGCATGCAGCACCATGATTGGCAAATTTAATTTTTTTTTTTTTTTTTTGTAGAGATGGGGGTCTCATTATGTTGTCCAGGCTGGTCTCCAACTCCCGTGATTAGGCGATCCTCCCATCTCAGCCTCCCAAAGTGCTGGGATTACAGACATGAGTCACCACGTGCAGTCTGGGGTTTCTTTATGAGTGGTAAAAATGTTCTCAAACTGATGGTTGCACATGTCTGTGGATATACTGAAATCCACAGAATTGTACACTTTAAATGGGTGAATTGTATGGTATGTGGATTATACCAGAAATAAGTGTGAACATGAAAATAGGAAAGATTCCCAGTACTTGAAGGAAACTCCATAAATGTCCCCAGTGGGCCCTTCCTAGAAAACACTAAAGTGGGTTCATTGTTGAGATTGCTGCCTTCTCTCTGATTTTTCTCTCACTTTACAGAACAATGTCATGTTTAAAAAATGAGCAAAACCAGAAAAGTATTTGTGGAACTGTTTTGCCACCGACTGTAATGCTGCGCATCATGTTTCTTTCCTGGTACACTTTAAAAACTTTCTTTTGGCCGGGCGCAGTGGCTCACGCCTATAATCCCAGCACTTTGGGAGGTCGAGACGGGCGGATCACGAGGTCAGGAGATCGAGATCATCCTGGTTCACACGATGAAATCCCGTCTCTACCAAAAATACAAAAAATTAGCTGGGTGTGGTGACGGGCACCTGTAGTCCCAGCTACCCAGGAGGCCGAGGCAGGAGAATGGCGTGAACCCGGGAGGCGGAGCTTGCAGTGAGCCGAGATCGCGCCACTGCACTCCAGCCTGGGCGACAGAGCAAGCTCCGTCTCAAAAAAAAAAAAATTTTTTTTGGCTGGGCGTGGTGGCTCACACCTGTAATTGCAGCCACTTTGGGAGGCTGAGGCAGGTGGATCACCTGAGGGTCAGGAGTTGAGACCAGCCCTGGCCAACATGGTGAAACCCCATCTCCACTAAAATAAAAAATGAGTTGGGCGTGGTAGTATGCGTCTGTAATCCCAGCTACTTAGGAGGCTGAGGCAGGAGAATGGCATGAACCCAGGAGGTGGAGGTTGCAGTGAGCCGAAGTTGTGCCACTGCACTCCAGCTTGGGCGACAGGGCGAGACTCTATCTCAAAAAAAGTCTTTTTGATTCAAGATCTCACTTTGCTACCCAGGCTGAGTACAGTGGTGTTGTCCTCATAGCTCACTGCAGCCTCAAAACTCCCATGCTCAAGCAATCAATCCTGCCTCAGCCTCCTAAACTGGGACTACTACAGTGTGCAAACCACCATGCCTGGCTACTTTTATTACATATAACTAATATATACTATTTTGATATATATAAAATATATATATATTTTTTAGTACAGAGAAGTCTCACTATGTTGCCCAGGCTGGTCTGGAACTCCTGGCCTCAAGCCATCTTCCTGTCTGGGTCTCCCAAAAGTACTGGGATTACAGGTGTGAGCTACCATGCCTATTAAAAATCTTGAACAGCTCTATTAAGATAATAGTTCAGGTAATTATAAAGGTCACCCTTTTAAGTGTACAGTTCAGTGGTTTCATTTTACTGGTGTGTTTTTTTTTTTTTTTTTTTTTTGAGATGAGTCTGCTCCTGTCGCCCCAGCCTGGAGTACAGTGGCAACAATCTTGGCTCACGCCAACCTCCGCTTCCTGGGTTCATGCTGTTCTCCTGCCTCAGCCTCCCGAGTAGCTGGATACATAGTGCTCACCACTATCCCCGGCTAATTTTTTTGTATTCTTTAGTAGAAATGGGGTTTCACTGTGTTAGCCAGGATGGTCTCTATCCTCACTGACCTCGTAATCCACCCGCCTCGGCCTCCTAAAATGCTGGGTTACAGGCGTGAGCCACCACATCTGGCCCTACCTGTGGTGTTTTTGAGACAGTCTCGCTCCGTCACCGCAGGCTGGAGGTGCCGTGGGGCAAGATCTCTTTGTACCTGAATCCGTCCCCTCCACAGGTTCAAGGATTCTCACTTGCCCTCAGCCTCCAAGTAGCCCTGGGATTGTAGGTGTGCACCACCATGCCCAGCTAATTTTCATATTTTTAGTAGAGATGGGATTTCACCAGGTTGGTCAGGCTGGTCTCGAACTCCCGACCTCAGGTGATCCACCTGCCTCAGCCTCCCAAAGTGTTGGGATTACAAGTGTGAGCCACCGTGCCCGGCCAGCTTAGTGGTTTTAGTGTAGTCGATACAGTTACGCAGCCATCACCACCATCTAATTACAGAACTTTTCCATCCACACAAAAAGAAACCTCGCACCCTTTTGTAGTCACGCCCTGTGTCCCTCCCCCAGCCCCTGCCAGCCACGAATCCTCTCTGTCCTTATGGATTTGCCTGCCCTGGACACTTCATATAAATAGAATTATACAGTATTCTTTTGTGTCTGGCCTCTGTCACTAAGCATGGAATTTTCAAGGTTTATCCATATTGTAGCCTGTGTCAGAGCTTTATTCCTTTTCATGGCTGAGTAATATTCCACTGTATAGATGGGCCACCTTTCTATAATCCCCCTTTGACTTGTTTTAAGATGTAGTCTTGCTCTGTTGCCCAGGCTGGAGTGCAGTGGCACAATCTTGGCTCACTGCAATCTCCACCTCCTGGGTTCAAGCGATTCTCCTGCCTCAGGCTCCTGAGTAGTTGGGATTACAGGTGCGCACCACCGTGCCTGGCTAATTTTTTGTATTTTTGGTAGAGTCAGGGTTTTGCCATGTTGGCCGGGCTGGTCTCGAACTCCTGACCTCAAGTGATCTGCCCTCCTTGGCCTTCCAAAGTGCTGGGATTACAGGCGTGAGCCACTGCACCTGGCCTGTATTGTTTTCTATTTTTAAGAGACAAAGTCTCACTTTGTCACCCAGGCTGGAGTACAGTGGCATGATCATAGGTCACTGCAGCCTCAACCTTTTGGGCTCAAGGGATCCTCCCACCTCTGCCTCCTAAAAGTGCTGAGATTACAGTCATGAGCCCCATCTCTTTTTTTTTTTTTTTAAGGCAGTCTCCGTGGCCCAGGCTGGAGTGCAGTGGTACAATCTCAGCTGCAGGTTCCTCCTCCTGGATTCAAGCGATTCTTGGGCTTCCCCCTCTCTCTCGAGTATTTGGGACTACCGGCATGCACCACCACACCTGGCCAATTTTTGTACTTTTTGTAGAGATGGGGTTTTGCCATGTTGGCCAGGCTGGTCTTGAACTCCCGGGCTCAAGTGATCCTCCTGCCTCAGCCTCCGAAAGTGCTAGGATTACAGCCACTGCACCCGGCCTCCCATTTCAATTTGTTAATGCAACAGACCAACCCATAGGAGGGAGGGAAATCTATTAAAGCATTGAACATTTCTGCGCTCCACACCTTGCCTGTCTAGAAAGATTGATGGAGACCAGTCGGAAATTGAGCACTGGGCCTGCTAATTGGGGATTCCTTGATGTCTGAAAGCCAAGTGAAGCCTCCTGGTCTTGTTTAGGGGGAGGTCCCCAAGCATTCCCTGCCCCCGTCCTTTGTGAGATTTGCATCTGACTGCAAAGAATGGAAGAAAACCAGAGCAATTAGGTGAGCGTTCTCTAAATGAATCTGTCCATTAAAATATTCCAAAGAGCATTTCCTTCCTTTTCGGAGGATGAAGACTTCTTATCTGACAGCAATTCTAGTGTGTTTTTAACATTTTAATATGCAAGGTTTCCAAAACTTGGAAAGAATCGGATGGTGAACCCTCAAGGAGACCCACCACCTAGATTCTATGATTGTTAGTGTTAAGTGTTTCTCGTAATAGATGGCATTAAAACTTTGTCTACGCAAAATAAAGTGGAGAACCCATTTGGGTGACTTGGTTAAAAACATTTGTATTGTCTGTGAAATCCAAACACCCCCACTGTCTTACAGAATATACTTGGAAGTAGAACAAAAAGCCCTATGTATGTGGGGTGGGGACTCCTTCCCTGCATGATTGCACTTTTTTTTTTTGAGACAGGGCCTCATTCTGTCACCCAGGAGTGCAGTGGTGTGATCATGGCTCACTGCAGCCTCGACCTTCCGGGCTCAAGTGATCCTCCTTGGCCCCCAAAGTAGCTGG